AGCAGATCACACGTCATAACATTACATATTAATAGCTACAAACAGTAATAACTACTGATATCGACATATACATGGATGCCATGGAATTATGTTATGAGATTTACATTTATTCCGTGTCTTCTAAGGCGACTGCGGTGATCTTTTCCCTAAGTGTCATCTTCTGTTCAAAGCCCACTACAAACTGAGATGGTGGACATCATGTCTGTCTTTGTGACCATGTGACCATGTGGCAAACATGAAAGCGGTCCAGAGCTGATGGAGGACAGTAGCTCAGAGTGTTGACATCATGTCCACTACCGGCTCCTTGAGGCACGTCGTGGACCGTAGTGAAGATGTCTCTCAATGATTAAAGACACGGGATTGGAGGTTTTTATTGACGTCTGCATTTTTTCACATGTGTCAAAACCAGGAGCCCACATGGCCCCCAGAGGGGGACTCGTGCTGTGCGTGAGATAAAGAAGCGGTCTCCTGTCAGAATCACATTTCCAGTTTTGTGAACTCCCCGTTTGTTTAGTATGTGTGTTTATTGTGTCTGTTTTTCTCCAACAGATGGTTTCGCTACGTGATCGCCGTCTTTTCAAGTTTGTAAGCTTTGGAAATCTCACAACTTCTATTGATCTGGTTTATTTCCAGTTGACCCAGTAAAATCCCACTGTGACACTTTCAGCTAGAAATGGAACACGGTCTTGAACTGAAATATTCACACTTATCATTGAACAATACTGGACTCATAAATAACTTAAGATAAAGTGTCCTTTTGTAATTCTTCCAAAGGAATGAAAAGGTTCACCTCCGGCGTCTCTATGGAAGCCTGCGCATGGAGAAGGTTTGAAACCTGTGCAAAAGCTTGATGATAGCTTATCATTGCTAATTGCAACATGAATGAGAGCGTGGTATCCGCAGAGGGAGAGCACTTCCATCCGTGCAGCGGGCCTTAACCCGACCATTGATGAGCCGCTAACTCCTTCTCTTAGCTACAGGATAGATGGTAGGAGACGGAGTAAGTTTCATTACCATAAAAGTGCTGCTCCTCTGTTTCCACATTCCACATCTGCTTCTCATCGGGCACAGTGAGGTCTTACAGATGTAAATTATTGCAAATTGCTATGTTTTATGGTCTGAGCCCCCACTCGCTCACAAATGTACAGTCACGATGTTGATAATTTAAACCTCTTATATGATGAAATGCTGTAACTGTAACAGTCTCTTAAGGTTTTAACAAATTGTAATACATTATATCAAAAATTATACCAAAAGAACATCCAATCCCTGTTAAGTAAGAAATAGACTAGAAGTAATTCTCCTCGCTGAGTCCTTATCAGTGTGAAAGGAAGAATGAAGTAATTTGTCTGCGAGCATCTTTCTGTGAACGAACGCGACGATGTCAAAGTCACAAAGTCACAATCTCTAAAAAGTAACTGTTAAAACATTTAACAGCAAGCAAAGTCGAAGGCAGATGCCAAAGTACTCAGTTGCCATGGATACGATGCACAGACAACTGGCTGAGCGCAGCAAGCGTTGGTCTGATTTGGACCTCCAGTGAACGCGTGGCGCTGGTCTGCTGCCAGAAGGCTCCCCAACAAACGCAGCAGAGCGGCCGCCCGTGTGGCTGCACAGGTCGAGATCCGTCACCGCGCACGTGTTGGCGGTGGAGCTTTCTCGCGTGCAGGTCCAGGCCTTCGCAGAGCGCCACTCGAGTGGGCACAATGGCCGGTAGTTTTCTACCATGCGAGGCTCCGACGGTCCTCTGCGTGGGCATCTGATCGCGGCTTTCATCGGAAATGTCAAGAGAATACAGGAACAAAGCGGCTCCCGAGTTTCTTCTTCAGCAGGAATATTAAGGCGAGATGGAGGGCTGGAACTCCACAAACAACACGGCGTCCCTCAGCCTGCTGCTGTGGATCTGGGACGAGGAACCGCTGATGACACGAGCGTTATAGATGACGGCTTATTAGGGACTTCAAGCTAAATGTAGAATGTCTTTCAACTCATATTCTGTACAGACTGACATTTGATCATTGAGGCTCGGACAACTGCGTCGATGAGTCCGTCCTCTCTCTCAGAAACAAACTGATGGCTACGGATGTCGGTGCTACAGTTCTCCCTTTGCAGACCACAGCTCAACAAGCGAGCGCACAGCCGAACACGAAAACAAGACTTTTATTTGAACATGTTTTGGAGCAGCACCCACCATGAGGTGGAAATGCACCTCGCTAAATATAGAAGACAATTATGCTGGTGTAATGGTGCATATTCCCAATGGAAACAGTCTGATTAGACCAGCTGCAGTATATTCTAAGTAGGCCGTGTGGTTATGTGGTAAAGGGTGTTGTAGCAAATACAAGTTCAAATTGGACCTTGTAGGAACCCGTTATTCATAATAACGGCGTTAAGGTGACATCTTGTGCGCATGTTTCTGTCCAGATCCAACAACTGCCTGGAGTCCTCTTCACAAGCGCTGTGCGCTGTGAGGGAGGATCACTCCAGCGCGTCCCCTTGGTTACGGCATCATCAATACGCCACATCAGACACAAACAGGGGGCGGGGGAATATATTGGCAGGTTTCTGTGGGGAAAAATACATGGTAGACTTTCCTGTTTGAAGTAATCCCGCTGAAGGAGAGCGACGGGCCGGCGGTGGTCAGACGTCACCTGCACAACATGTTGTGTAAGCTGCTTGACCTGCAGGTAATGAGGATCAGCAGGGTGGAGGCTCCTTGCTTCTCTTTCACTGCTGCCTGCCTGCTTCTGCCCACAACTATCAAATAGGACACATTTGACTTATTTTAACCGTTAAACAGATCCAACGTAATTCACGGCGCCGTGTGCACAGGAACGGTTGTGATGGATTCAAGTTCTTTGTTAAAGGAAGTGATCCACGACTGAGCACGCAGACTCAGCGGGACGGCAGTGGGACACAAAGATGGAGATTTTGTTATAATGTCATTACCAGGTTGTTGGGAAAATAACCGTATACCCAGTGAAGTAGCATCATGCCCCTCACAAGCAGACCCCGAATATCTCAAACTGCTCAGCTGGGAATAAATGTGCTTCAAACGTAGCGTAGGTGTGAAGATACGCATGTTTGTGTCTGATCAGTGGTGAGGGCCGCTGTGCACAGGTGAACATCCTGCTGAGACACTGCAGGTGTCCTGGGACAAATATGACTTAACATCTGTGATGGGAGGAGCCAGTTTGGTGAAATCTACCTATGACATCTGCTAAATACAAGCTCCTCCATTAGGTCTGTCGGGACAGGACGGGGTTCAGTTATACAAAACTATCGGGCTAATTCAACAGGCACGTCTAGTCTGCATCGATTTACAACGGATGGTTGAAAAGAGACAGCAACATTTCCTACATTCACAACAAAGTCAAGAGTTGACATGTTTGGTTTTCAAATTGGACATTAAAATGCGTTTAGTAGTTTAGTAGTAGTTTACTAGTTTACTAGTTTTCTTCTTTTCTCCACCCGGCTGCAGGAGTCAAGGACATCTGCTCCCTCATCAGAGGCGCCCTATTTTCCAACAAATGAAATGCCCGTTGGGATTTCTCCACTGGCCGTTCAACCCTGAAATAGCGTCGCCTTCATCGATGTGATGCATGGCTTCTCATCAAAGTGTAGTTTCACTCAGCAATACATTAAGGCAGAAGTCGTATTAGACCAAATCAAAGTGGGGCTACGACCAATTAAACAGTATTATTTAGAGTCAGTCAGTGCACTTTACAGATGCTGTCTGTGTCCAGGCTTTAATACGCCTCCAAATCCCCTAAAGAAAGAGGAATAAACCTTCAGCAGTAAACTACAAACCCGTTTGTCAGAGACTAAATCGTTGACCGAGCCACAGCCGGAGTTCTAACGAGGTCCGTTTAAGGGTGAGAATATTTGGGCCTTTAGCATGAAACACCGTGTTACTGTTTTACAAACATTTGAAACCACGACAGGAAGTATTGTCCGACATGCACCACATGCTGCGCCTACGGTCGCTCACTGGGTGACACTAGACAGAATAAACCTCCACACAGGTGGAACTGAGGTAGACCCTGAGCCTGAGCCAGGGCCTTGTTTCTACACTACCCTTCCGAATTATTAAAGATGTGTATTTTGTAATGGCGCTCCAGCTGTTCTGTCAGATTGAAGCTTGTATTGTCGTTTTAAAGCTCGACAGAGACAGAAACGTGGCGTTTTCATCCTCTCAGGAAGCGCGTCGTAGCGCCCCTGAGCCTCCACACGGGTTGAAACAAAAAACAATAAGACTGACCGTAGTCTCCTGTCGGCAGAGGCCTTCCGCCCCCCCACCATCATTGGATCCCCCCCAGCCCCGTGTGGCTGCAGCACTGGTCCCCATCCTCATTAACCCAGATGTGGATATTAATAAGATGAAAGCAGGTCTAGACGCGAAGCAGAGCGAGTCCTGGTTTCAGAATGATCACGCTGAAGTGGGACACCTCGGCCCCCCCTTTGACAAGGGAATGAATTTGGTTTCTATATTAAAAAATACCCTCTGGCCCTTTTAAATTGGTCCCAGCTCTCTGAGGTCTGAGTGCAACGAGGAGCTGAGAAAACCTCCAAGGAGACGCTGCGTGGATTGAAGGGGAATGTCAAGTGGATCGAAACTAAAGAGTCATTTCTTTAACTGAGCACTTTGGTGACACATTTCTGCAAAAAACCCGGGTGACTGTGGAGGTGGAGGAATCGATTTATCTATAAAAAGAGACCTATTAAACAGAACTCCTCCATTCTCCGTCACAGCAAACGATGCCTCTGCTCCGCCGGGGAACACGTGTGGGGTGAGAAATGGCATCTTTCCACAGAGCAAACATCCCCTGGTGGAGGAAACCGATTGTGCAAGAACAGGCTGTGTAGAAAATAACATCATGTCTCCGCTTCCTGTTTGGTCACCTGACCTTTACGCAATGAGGCGCAGACGTGACTCCTCCGGCCGACTGGAGCCGCCAACCAGCTGCACTTATTCAATCAGCCGAGATGGAAACACGGAACCAAGTCAACATCCCTTTATTTGAAAATCTCTTGACATTTAGATAATAACACGTGACGTACGATTGCATCGAGCTATTTCGCGTTGATGATGGATAAATCCAGCGGGAGGAAGCGACCGCAGTTGTTGGCACCGCAGTGGCACTCCTTCCTCTGGAGTCCGTCCGTCCCACCGTCCCGCGGCGTGGCCAGCCGCTCCGCGGGGAGTCGGTTGCCGTATCCGCCGGTGTAGTCGAACGTCAGCTCCTCTCGCGCGGCGACGTTCCGCCCGGCGAACAGCGCCAGCCGGGGAACCAGCGAGTGCACGCGGACCGGCTGCATGAACAGGTTGGGCCGGCACGAGTGGTTGAGGAAGCGGCCCGCGTTCCCCACGGCGGCGGGGTCCACGAACGTCTCGGTGACGGAGCCTTCGCCCGCGTGCTCCCTCACCGCGATGATGTAGTTATTGTCCCCGGGTCTCTGGGCGAGCTGTCTGCGCCGGGCCTCCTCCAGACCGATCACCTCGCCCGCGTACTCGCACACAAACGTCCCCCGTGGGATCGCCTGGAGCGTCCGCACCCCCCAGCCCTTGTTCTCTGTGGCGTAAACCTCCAACCGGAGCCGGAGCCCCCCCTGCACCACCCGGCTGGAGCAGGCGTCGCTGCAGGCGCACAGGGCGTTGCACTCAAACACCGGGGAGCAGTAGCCGGAGCCCGCCGCGCCGAGGGCCAGCAGGGCGCCGGCGCCGTCGTAGGCGCGGCCGCACGTCCGCAGGCAGGGGCAGGTGTCGGAGCAGCAGGAGGCGGAGCGGCAGGAGCAGCCGGGGAGGGTGACCTCGCTGGGGTCCGTGGTGCACCCTGGGCCCTGGACGTTATCTGGGGAGTACTGAAGAGGGACAACTGTCAATGACAAACTAACTACTTTGATAATTGATGAATCGTTGATGTCAGTTTTGCAGGCGTCTTCTGTAAGCTTCTTCTCAAGGCCCGCTGCTCGTTTCTACTGTTACTGACAGTAAAACGGCAAAACAGGACCTCTGGAGACGCTACGAGTACACGTTAAAGACAGAAACATCAATCAGAACCGGTCTGAAGATGAAACCCATAAAACTACCCAGACAACCACATTACCACATTCTGCGTTGACGATGAAAACCACGCGCAAAGGAAACAAAGGTTGTAGTCAGAGGGTTTATCTGTGATCCTTTGCTGACATCTGCTGGTAACTCTGCGTTTCCTTTCATACGTTGCAGCTCCTGCAGGGTAGGATTTGTGTGTGTGATGCATACAGCACACACATGTACACACGCATACAGCACACACATGTACACACGCATACAGCACACACATGTACACACGCATACAGCACACACATGTACACACGCATACAGCACACACATACACATGTGTGCATGTATACAGCACACACATGTACACATGTATACATGCACACATGTACACATGTGTGCATGTATACAGCACACACATGTACACACGCATACAGCACACACATGCATACAGCACACACATGCACACATGTACCCATGTATACAGTACACACATGTACACACGCATACAGCACACACATGTACACACGCATACAGCACACACATGCATTGTGGGTGACGGGGACAAACAGGTGTCAGTTCACAGTAAATGAAGCTCGGTCCCTTCCGCTGCTTTAAGGCCTCGCAGGTTGTTGTTGTTGTTGTTGTTGTTAGTGACACGCGGGTGTTTGTTGCCTCGACGTGTCTTATTACGCGTGTGTTTGTCGGCACTAGACGGGTGAGACAACGACCCCCTCGCTCCGCTCGCACGCTGAGGGACGGACGCCGTGATGGACGTCGAGGCTCGACTGTCCCGCCGGAGACGGAGACAAACGTTACCTGGAACTGAGGGAAAGCCGCAGAACTCCTCCGGATCAGAACCGGGACCTTCTCCAGGCAGTTGCTCAAATCCGCGCTCATGTCCAAAGTGTCCCGCGGGGACAGAAGTCCCCTCGAAGCAGAAGGTGGTTTGACCGCAGTCACGCGCCCCCCGCAGGCCGCCTGCTGCCACTGCGTCACCGGAAGCGCCTGGTTTCTCCATCCGGTCTGAGCGGGTCTCAACGGTCTCCACCGGGACACTGTGGACCCATTCACCTGCAGCTGCAGCACGAGGCCGCCAGGTGGCGCGACTCTTCCTGTCAATTCACATTTGAAATGAACTGGAAGATAAACGATCAATTAAGCAAATGACGAACATTTTAAACTGCAATAAAGTGGATGCAATGTGTTAATCCTTACAATCCTTCTATATTCCCTTCGTCAAGATAAGGCACATTAAATGCCAGGGGAAGTTGTTTAGGTAACACATATGGGCAAACCACGTTGCACCACGGCCTTGTGGGTAGAAGACAATTCTGAAAGACATGCAGACATGAAGAGTGATGAACTGTGTCTCCAGTCAGATGGTTCCTGTGCACTAAGTAGTCCCCAGAGAGGACACGTCATCTTATTTGAGTCCTTCTTTGTTGTGTCTTCAGGCGCTGCACGTTGTGTAGCGTGTTTCCGTGACTAACCTTTCTATGATGTGCTGTCATCTGTATTTGTTTGCAGTGGTTTATTCTCTGGTGGCCCGTTGAGACAGATGTGTGGGAGGTCGCATCGTCAGCCAGCATTTCCAACTGCACACAAGCGACGGAGGATTTCCCTCTGAGAATAATCAGTCATCTTTTTCTTGGGCAAAATGAGCACCGTCAGTTGTTTGTCGTGCGGCTGGTTTCTCATTTCAAATCAAACACTGAGACGTGATACAAATGTATGACAATAAACTGATTTGACAAAGACTGATCAACTGTTACAATCTACAATCAGATTGTTCAAAATACATGACAGACATTTGTACCATCTTAGTTTAGTGTCCATTCAACACAACGAGACAAACACAACAGCTGCACGGTGTTGTGGTGGTTGTCACTGTCGCCGCACGGCATCGAGGTCCTGGGTTTGATTATCACCTGAATAAATGAGTGCATTTTTAAGGATTTGATGAAAGAGTTGCATAATCTGCCTAATGTGCTTCCATCCTAGAGTCTTGATAACAAGACGCATTATTAAGTGCTCAGTCTAACTATTAATGATCGGATCTTTAACAGCATTTTTGAGATTTCAGGTTAATTTCCGTCGAGGGTCCTAATTGAATAATCCATAATCCAAATGTCCGCTTACTTTCTTGTCGTCTTTAAAATGGCCTTTCCTGGTGTTTCTAATATGACTTGACATCATTGTGTCTCCTGACAGGATGAGACAGCTTTCCTGAATGTTGGGAGTGTTTAATAGGCCCCGTTGTCCAGGAACCCCCCCACACACACACACACACACACACACACACACACACTGAACGGAGCAGAACTTGCTGAGTACAATTGGTTGTGAAGTTACCGGACCGGAGGCCCGATGGAGCACGTTCTCTGCTGTCCAGCGTGACGCTGTGCCGATTGACTCGCTGCCTCTCACAGCTTCATCAAGTGGACGAACAAAGGGAATTTCAAAGGTTTTCCTCCTCTGCCTTTTGTCAGCCTTAGTAGGCATGATTAGAACGAGAGGACCGCGGAGGTTTGCTCTTCTTTCTAACTACTACGGTTGATCAAAGGCCATGAAAGGAGGAAAACGGAGAGGATCGGAAAAATCAGGGATTGCATTTTGAAAATAAGGTGAGAAAAAAACACAAAAGATAAAGATTCAAATTCACCAACAACCTAAATTTGACTGCGTTCCAACCTTTCAGTGAAAAAGGTTTCCTCCCTTTGCTGCAGTGACCGCGTGCTTCACTTACACCACAACATCTTGTAAAGCAATTAAGCGACGACTCGAGATACATGTACGTGTTTAGGCATCAGTTGTGTTGATGGATACATCGGGTTCTTTTGCTCTTCTTATTGTTACACAAATGCCGGATGTTTATTTTATTAGTGTTTTTTTCTTCAGCTCTGTGAATAAAGCTGCCTAGCTCCTTAAAATGTGCCTCTAGTGGTTCATTTGCGGATTAATCTCTTTAATGATCAACAACTCTGTGATGCTACGATATTGGACCCTGACGTGCAAAACAAACCATCTGGGGACAGAAGGCATCATTGTCCGCGTCATGGACACGTCCCTTAGTTAATAGCAGCTCGATTTGAAGGTGATTCATGCTGAATTGATATTTTTGCCCCCACAAGTAAAACATTGAGAGATACAAATCTCACACAGTTCTACTTAGTAAAAAAGCAATAACGTCTCAACATAATCTTCAGAGATCAACGCACAGCCTTCACGCATCAAGTCGGCCGGGCGCATTTACTGTGTAGCTGAAACAATCATTACCTGCTCCAAGTGAACCAGCTGTGGGTCAGCGACTGGGTCAAATGAGGTGTAATGGTGGGACCGTCGGGCTGCGTAGAGAATAAAGAGTCAATCTGTTTGCATTCTTTGTTTTAAAGACAGTTCACCCAACCACCTGGAACCTTCATTAAATCGGTGTTTAATGTCCCTTTTTTCATTTCAATCCGGCTGGACAGTTGAGGCCCGTTAGTCATCATTAGCAGACGCTGTCCTCACTGCTCATTTACAGCCCCTCGTCGGTAATGATCATGCAAAGAACCCGGCTGCATATTTTTACGTTTTCCCTTCAGCATGAAATGTGTTTGTTCCAATCTACAGTCGGAAAGATTACAACACACAGCAATGAGCGTCTTCTAATGGTGCGTCATCATAATGGAAAAGAAAATGAGCTTTTAAACAAAGGAAGACAACTTTGTTTCCTGCATGGAATGTGATCATCACGTTTAGAGTTGGGGCATAAAATCAGAAAGAAATGTGTTATGAAAAATACATTTAATCATTTATACATTAAAATCTAATTTAGAGAAACTAAATGTTGCATGTTGTTGACGAGTAAACAAGGAAAGAGCTTAAAGGTCTGAGATGTGGTTAACTGAATGCTGACAACAGCCATGTAATGGATGTAAGTGAAGGGCTGGTTCCAAAGGTCCAATTCACGGCGGATATAAGACACAAACAGTCAGTTGACTTTGGCCCAGATGCCAGAATGTGAAGGTTTTTTTCCTGTAGCTGTTTTTCAGTGAATAACGTTTTAGAACGAGTGTCATGCAGGTTGAGAAGACAAACTGAGGTCGTTTATGAATATATCTACTTCCTGTTGACACATCTTGCTGTTAAAGACATCGGCACGGTACGGTATTCTGAACATGTGGCGTCTCCGCTTGTCTCTTCCTCGCGCTGACAGGCTGACAGCATAATGTCCAACGCTCACCTGATGATGGAGAGGATCACCAAGTCATCAGGAGTCACTCCATCTGTTAGATATTACTGGGAAACTTAGAGCAGCCGTAGTCATGAGTTACGTCATGAGGACTTATCACTTGGTAACGTGCAAGTCTGTAATAAATGTATTTGCAATTCATCCAATGGTTGTTGAGATGAATCCGTGCAATTTGTCGGCTTGACATTGGCATCCATATGACTCAGGTAAGTCTAAGCTCAGAGAAGCACATCGAGGCCTTTTGTCTGAGAAAATAACACTTCCAAGATGCTACAAGATATGATACAAGTTGCACACTGTCTTTCTAAGGGAATAAACTGTTAATGTAAATGAGGGGCAAGAACCGCCAACAGATGGTCGACCTTTTCCGACCTGCTTTCTAATGTCACCACTGTGCTGGAGGAAAAGTCAGGGGCAGCTTAAGGTCAGACACAAATATTTAGAAAATATTACTATGCAAGGCTGAAATCTGCCACCTTTCTGTGGTTGCTGCTTCACTGCGCAAAGGAAAACATAGCACAGGCGTGTGTGTGGCCTGTGGCCGCTTACTACGCACACACACACACTAACAATGGTGCTATAGGAGAACGTTTCTCACTGTTTTGATGACCAGGAAATCAATAGAGAAATGAAGCGCGGCTCCTTTCTGATTGAATTGTCACTTCATTGTTTGAACCTTGATGACTGATACAAACGGATGTAGGCGGTCGCTACGTCCTTTTCTCATTGAAACCATGCCGAGTGTCCTCGTTGCAATTGTCTTTTTGTTATTCTGCAGTCTTGTATATTGTTGTATATATTGTTCATAGACGGTGACTCCTGCGCACCGGGTGTCTGTTTGGATGAAGACAGCCGTGACAGTAAGAGATGGAAATAAACGCTAAGCCATTGTGTCATCGTGTCAGCAGTGAGACTGGAAACACATTCACATTTCCAGTATGCTGCAGGCAAAAAGCAGAGCTGTTTAATTGGTCCCTTGGAGAATAGACCAGAACTATCGGTCCAACAATTCATCTCGCACTTAACAGCTGATTGAGATTACCAAAATGCATTACGTCTTCACACGTCTGTTCTGCCTCCATTATTCAGACAGCGCAGCAGCAATTATCTTATCACAACAAGTCCTGCGAGTAAAAGAGGCGCAAAACAACAAATAAAAACTAAATGTTCTCCATGACCCACGCAAATCTGCACCAGCTTCTCCAGGCTGAGACGTCCCAGCACTTTGGGTTAGGGTTAGGAGGTATTACGTGTTTGGCCTTATTGCTGCAAAGACTACATTCGTTTTTCTACCTTTGCCGTTCAGTCCTCAGACCTCCGTGCCTTCAAAGTACGCATGTATGCCAGGAAAGTACGTCTCCCAGAAACATCAATGGTGTGGACGTCATGTGCACACACACCAATGGTGGTGTTATGTGCACATAATTAGTTAACAAAAGTCTCATGCGCATGGCCAACTTTACCAAGAATCGGTCGATGAATAAAGCAGGTGTGTAATGTGGCCTCCTATCGTTTTGTGTGTGAATTCAATATACGAGGCTGGACATCGATGTGCCTCAATCCATCTTTATTACCTCGGTTAACCCTTGTTTTAGTTCACAACTCTATGAACTGTGGGTAATTCCTTCAAAGTCTGCAGACATGCAGAAAGTGCTCATGAAGCGCTCACACACTTGATCATTTGGACGTTAGGATGCACAATATACAAAATGAGAGAACTGCATCATCCACCAATATTAGAAGTCTCTTCAATACCAAGAGAAGAAGAAGTGGTGTCATCACCAACTTCCACGCGGCCTCAAACGGAGGGGGAGAAGAATCACCTGTCAATCAATGAGAGGAATCTTAGACACACCTTGTCAATCAATTCAATGAGAAGGTGTTGTTTGTGTGTTTTTCATATTCACTCTAGTTAGAACAGTCATGAAGAACAGCTGTTTGTTTTCTCTTACTAATACTTATATATCAGATTGTAAAATCTCGACTACGCTCCTTTCCTCAACCAAACTAAGTGCTTTTGTTGCCTGCACACAACTTCCTGTGAAGATGGGAGGAAAAGACATAAAATCATTGCAGCTCGCAAAATGTACCGGCTGCAAATGAGCAAGTGCTTGTTTCTCCCTCTTTCTCAAGTCAAGGACCTCATTGAAAACTGAGTGGTCATTTTCTCTGTAAATTGCATATTGTTGTTTGCTGCTTGGGAAAGAACGCTTAGTTGGCATGGCAACGGTAACTATAGGGGACGCAGCTCGCCCAATAACAATCGAATTAGAAATGTCCCACTGCACTGGCGTCAGGGACAGAAGACCTGCGCTGCTCGTGTATGCAGGTTGACTGCTCCTTAAGATGTCGTCACGCCCCGGACAGCGGCCCTGGACCCAAATGCAACTTCTGCGTTCAAAATCAAAGTCATCAAATCAAACAAATGAAAACAAGAACAAAAGGCTCTAGAAAATAAACTAGAATCAACAGAAAGCGAACGTGGACAGTGGACATTGGTGCGCGCTGGCTCTCTTTGACATGGGACAAGACAAACTGGCACAGGACAAAGGGAGACAACACACACACACACACACACACACGCACACACACACACACACACACACACACAGGGCACAGGTGGAAACAATCAGGGGCAGCGAAGACAATCGGACCGGCACACAGGCGGTCAAAGTAAAACAGGAAATCACGAGACAACTCAGCACTATGGAAGGTGAGTTGGAAATCATCTGAACATTGAAAGAAGTCTCTCTGTCGCCGTTAAGACTTGACATTTTCCTTCTCGCACACATCCATCAATCCCATCTCTGTAGTATTGTCATCGGTTTGCCTGTGCACTTTTTATTTGTATTTTCTACTGGTAATTTAACAGTATTCTCTCTTGTTCAATGCCTGTATGCGCCGCTCACCAGGACAAATTCCTCGTGTGTCCAACAGACTTTGAAAACAAATCTTTCTGATTCTGCGGCATTTTTTCGTAGCCCACCTTAAGCACAGCAGAAGAAAGGAGAGGCACGACCCCCCCGCTGAGAAGCTCAATAGGCTATTTTACTTCACCATCAGTGCAAAGAGGCAGCTTTTCCCACTCCACACCTGTGAAAGCGTAAAAGATGTTTTAGTGCTTTCCCACCTGCAGGGTGTTGACCTTGTCAGTGTTATTTCAGGCTCTGGGGACTTCGCTCACTCAGCTGCGAGCACCTGCAGGAGGATGGAGGGAAGGGGTTGTCATGGAAACAGGCCACTGGGAGGGGACATGGTGCAGGCTGCAGCACACGCTTTGAAAAGCCTTCATTGATAGCTGTCCCAGTGAGCTGATTTCCGGTCTGTTACCAGGATACCCACTGGGGCCGTGTAATGGCCCGTCCATCTTTCAAAGCAGCACTTTCTATGTGCAGGTTTAACAAATGCAACCCTACTGTTGCTCTGCCCTCCGCTGACCATCATTCTCTGCACAGGTCTAAAGGCTGCACGACATTCACTGTCATTTTTGTTGTAGAATCTCATGACATTTATACACGCAGTAGAAACAGTGTTTCTTGATGCACAATGCAAACGCAGCCCTATAAGTGACTAACTGTAACAGTCAAGGACATTATCTGGGATGTGCAATGTGCATCCACAACATATTTATTCAAACCACCTAATTGGGCTATAATTTAACCATGTATGAACATTCATACATTGTTTATAACCCTTTTTTAAAATATGAGGTTAGTTTTAGAAATGCTTACATTGATTACGAGTGTCATTTGATTCATGCATTATATTGCTAATGATTTATTAAATACTTATTCACAAGAGACATTATGCACGAGAATAGCCATGTTGTCAGGGGAAACTAAGCAGGCAATGTTTGATTGCACAACAAAGCCCAGATCTGTCAGTCAACATCTGGCCCACCGATGGAGATCCACTTCTTCTAGAAGCCACTGAGATTGGGGTTTGCGTTGTGTCGTACGCAACATTACTGTCTCATTAGATCCTGCAGAGAAAAGGTTGATCCATGTTCACACAGATAGTGGTACACGTTCCACCACAATACAGCATTATGAGAACCTGAATCTTTCACCTGAATTATTATCCCAGTGTTGCTTTCTACCTAAAGCTTTGGAGGTACGGAGGCATGTCTGCAATAATTAAAAGAGACAGCGATCAAAACGCGCAGGAAAAACATCCACTGTCTTGGTTTTGAGCCAAGTTTAAGTGCATTTAGTCTGCGGCCTATTGTCCCCTGCAACAATTAAAAGCCTCAAGATATTTAGGGTCGTCGTGGCGCAGGGGTTAGAGAAGGTGTGCTGGGAAGCACAAGGTTGGTGGTTCGATTCCAGGCTGCCCCATGTACCATGTCGAAGTGTCCCTGAGCAAGACACCTAACCCCTAATTGCTCCCTGGGCAAAAATGTGAAAAAGCCATGGGTTAAAAGTGTAATGTACGTCGCTTTGGATAAAAGCGTCTGCTAAATGACCTGTAATGTAATTTAGTTACAACCTCTAAATGACATTTTCTCTCAGCCATATTCATGGTATATATACTTAAAGTAAAAATGACACTTGGTGTGGAAATCATGGTTTAGAAAATATGAGGAAAAAAGATTTTATTTGTCTTGCTCTTGAATAAACAACATGTTTGTGTGTGTAAACCACATCGGAACCAGTGATTGTAGACATATTCTAGCAAAATAAGAAAAGAAATGTTTAAGAAATTGAAAAAGCCTTACATCTATTCACCTATTTCATAACATTCATATTTCTATTGCTGGTTTACAGTAGCTGATCTGCAAACTTAAAATCTAAATCAAACACTCATTATGTTATTATAATTATTTAATGTTCAAAAAGTAAATGAAGTCATAGCTGATAACATTACATAGGAATGGCTAACATTATTTAATAGACAGCATATCAAGTCTAAACACTTTGTCAGCTTATATGTGAGTTGATAGACAAATTAGTATATATTTATATATATTTCAGTGCACAACAGTCAACAGTGAAACTGTTTTACAGGAGAAAGAAAGGCAGTTTTCAACAGTTCTGCCATAAGAAACATGTCAAAAACAGGTTGGATTTCAGCTCCTGATGCTTGCGTAGACTGAATCCGTGACAATGCTCATGCTGTGTTCATTAAAATGAGAACTAAAAATAAAGCACAGTGACTTCTAAAGTCCACGGCGCTGAACAAAGCTGCCACATGGTGCGTCAAAATGGGCTAGAGGTAAAAAGGCAATATGCTAAACTAAAGATGTGTACATGTCAGTTCGTCGATTGCTTTAAAGATCAAGTCTCAGAGAACTGAAGAAAAACAAACTGGAAACATGAAAGAAAAAAAGACTCAATTACACAAAGAAGCAAGTATGTATATTTGTGCTCCTGAAAGAAACATGTCTTTATATGTCCCACTGGGTCGCAGCTCTCACCACATGTAATAGCTGCGTGTGGTGTCCACCTGACTGGGTTTGGTCTCGGACGAGCCCTCTTTCTCCTTCTCACTGTCTGTCTCCCACAGGTTGATAAGGGGGGGATACAACTCGTTCAGCGGTATTGACGACGTTTTCTGCATGTACTTTTTCAGAGAATGGTGATAGTTTTTCCTCTTCCACCTCTTGGCAATGTACACTCCCAGAGAGGCCAGACTGATGATCGCAAACATCGTTCCCATGACTGCTGCAAGGGCAGTGTTGGTTCCTTGGTCAGATATTTCCACAGCAAAGGTCGCCTGCTTTGTCGTCACATTCACGCACGACTTCTGTGTTTGCTGGTGGATGTTGGAGACTGTGAGGCACACCTCGTACTCAGTCGCTGGTTGTAGATGTGTGAGGTTGTACTCGTGGACGTCAACGGGAACCCTGGCAGTGTAAGTAATATGTGGGTTGTCTATTTTCATAGTGGCAGATGACCACTTGAGGTTGGAGGTCATTACATTGGAATTCATTTTCCAGGAGACAAGGATGGAGTGAGATTCTGTTTGTTTGACGTAGATCTTCATTAGCTGAGTGCTGTCAAAAAGAGTGCCGTTCACGCGTAAAGCCGTCACTCTTGTGTCCGCGCCCTCTGAATTCTCAGCCACACAGGTGTATCTGCCAGAGTCTTCTACCTGAATATGAGTAATTCTCAATGTGCCTTCGTTGCTGAGGCTGTACTTGTCAGATAAGGTGTCCGTCATTACCTTGTTCCCCATTGGCGTCACCCAGTAGATTTCAGGTTCAGGCTGGGACACGGCTCTGCAGTCCAAGTCCAAAGTCATGCCGATGTCCAGGTTGAGGTGGCTTGGGAAAGTATCGTGGGCAATCAAGGGCAGGCACTGGTTTGCCAAATTATTCTGCAGCACCTCCCGAACATGCAAACCCTTTACTTCTGTTGGCATGGCACAAAACATGGACAGAGGCTCCATGAAACGGACGGTGGTTCTGTTGGAGCTCATCCACTGAATGACGCAGTCACAGCGCAGAGGATTACTGTGGATGCTGATCTCACGCAAATTGGGCAGAGAGTCCACCGTGGATTGATAGAGAGCATTCAGGGCATTGTTGTTCAGCATTAGACTCTCCAAGGCAGGGACATCATGGAAGGCCTGGCGGTTAATATAAGATAACTTGGGATTGTTTGTAGCCTCCAGTTTTGTGAGCTCAGGAAGATTGTCAAGTGCGTAGTGGTCAATAGAAACCAGCTCGCCCATGTTGTTTATACCCAGTTCCTTCAGTCTCAGCATGTTCTTGAAATCTCCTTCCTGAATCTTGTGCACCGGGTTTTTGTTTAAATCCAAAAACTTGAGGTTGGGTAGTTTCTGGAGGGCTCTCTGGGGAACTCGGACAAGCTTATTGTCATAGAAAGAGAGGCTTTCAAGATTGTCAAGTCCCACAAAGGCATTTCCAGGTACGTCTGTCAAATCCATCCCGGCCAAAACCAGACTCCTAAGATTGCCCAATGGCTTGAAATTAAAGTCGATTATTCCAACAACGGGGTTCTCCCCAATCATGAGGATCTCTAGGTTGGGTGTGGATTCAAACCATTTGCTGCCAATGGTCTTAATTTTGTTGGAGTTGAGGTGAAGCCTGAGCAGGTTGTGGAGCCCATAGAAGGCATTTGCAGAGATTGTGTTGATCTGATTGTGGTTTATGTAGAGCTCCTGCAGGTTGCTGAGGTCCTGCAAACAGTAATCTGGCATTTCTGTGATCTGGTTCTCCTCCAGATGAAGCGTGGTCAGCTGGGACATGTTGAAAAGGCCAACATCTCGAATGCTACTGAAGTTGTTCTGGGACAAGTCAAGCTCAGTCAGGTTGAAGAGCTGCTCCAGCTCGTCATTGGTCCTGGCAATGTAGTTGCTTTGTAGAAGGAGAACCTGAGTGTCACTGGAGAGGTTTCCTGGGATACGTGTTAAGCGAAGGTCATTGCAGTCCACAGTGATAGCCTCTCTGTAGGTGGACTGGGGGGTAAACCACGGCCGGATCTCGCATACACACAGCTGGGGGCACTCATTGCTCTGGAAAGATAGTCCTATTGATACCAGCATCAGGCCAGCAAACACCTGGCCCGGAAGTAAGCAGTCTAACCTCCGTGTAGCCATGCTGGCGTTTGACAGGACGACTGCCCGATGAATTTGGGAGCAAGGACGTTGCAGTCATCAACCAGACCTTCTGCTGATTAGGTTGGTCAGTCCAGCGGCGGAGTTGAAAGGGGGTAAAAATTTACCACAAGACCTTGGAGCCCAAGAGTGATCTGGAAAAGAAAGACAACGCAGATATATGTCATTGTAAAGGAAACAGGGTCTGATCTTATTTTCATAAGTATGTTTTCAGCAACGCTAGAAGCATAGCTCAGTAATAGCAGAGGGCTCTGTCACTGTTTGGTCCAGACTGATGCACGTCAACATCTATCGGATGGATAGTCTGAAATTCTGTACATACATGTATTGTTTTCAGACAACTGATAAAAAACATCATTTGGTGGTGTCTCTTACTCAGCTTTGGTTGAGCATTTGCAGTTTTGAATGAAAGATCTCAGCAACCTTTGAATGTATTGCTAATTTAGCAGCAGCTATTGAAATCAGCAAGTTACCAGTGTTAAGACTAGAACGCTTTATTAATCCTGTGTGGAGAAACTCAAACACACATTAATAAAAAGGAGGTTTCCTCGGTGCACAACATTGAAAACACACTACAACAAAAGAGATAACATCAAAAATATGCTATTTCTGAAAACCACATCTAAAATGTATTATCATTTATTTACATGCTCACTTATTGCAAACATGTTTGGATCAAAGTACATGAGTGTACACTTAGTACTGGATTAGAACGTAATCTTTTATGTTTCTTGAAAATGAAGCAATTACATAAGACAACCAACTGAATAAGAACAACAATTGCATCTCCATTATGAGACCGACTTATGTGCAGCCTCAACAACTTTAAGAAAAGGCAAGTTCAGCTCGTTACAATGCCCGCACAAAACCCTGCAATGAGCGACTTGGAAACAAATCAGACCTCATCGAGGGCTTTCATCTATCCAACAGGCCCAAAAGGACTTGATCATTAGCTTCTCCGAACATCATTAAAACCTGAGATATGTGTATGCGCCAGGCCTCAGAGAAAGCAAAGAAAAAAAGATGTCTTCATTTTTAATACGTCTTCCGCATGCTGAATTTAGGGCAAACATGAAAAAGAAGTTTTCAGCAGGGCTGCGATTCTTTCTGGGATGATTGGGTACAGAAGGAACACGCTCAAAACTTTGAGTAGCATTTTCAAACTCTAATACTTGCAACCACAAAACAGGAGTGGACTGTGTGAGGACGAGCTCAGTGGCTTTGTTCATCCAACACAAATACATCTGCTACACCCTCACAGCAGGAGATCCAGCGTTTGTTCCAGGGAATAAAATGAAGACAGGTTGTACTCATGAATACTGCGTTCGAAAACTCTGCCTGTAAACACATGGGAATCACTGTCATATATTTTGTTTAATGAGGGACGGCAGTACAGGTCGGTCAAGACATTTATGGCTATTTTAATGTTTCATTTAATGTTCCTTTCAAGTCTTTTTAATATATTTGCAATGTTCTGGTATACCCGTTACTTATTTACTATTGTCGCGTGCTGCCACGCGTTGGGATTTCAGTGTTTTTTAGAAGGTTCGCTTTGTGTACTTTCCTTTCCAATTATTTGGGGATATTTATTGGGTTGCACAACCACCTGACATTGTATTGCTTGTGACTATTCAGAAACATGTTGATTGGATGGAGATGGAGATATTTCAATGTGGGGTTTGCAGAAAGTGTGCATCTAGTTCTCTAAAATGATATTTCCCTGACATCTCAGAATGAATTATTATATATTTTTTTAATGCCTAAAATCAAATTCTTACCTTGTCCACTTTGGATAAGGGCCAATGCCATTTGCCTCAGCTGTCTCTGTGTTTGGTGATAATGTATTAATGTTGGCATGCTTACATTTCAAGAGGAGGAACATGGTAACCATGAAACATCAGCATGATGGCACGGTGAAGCATTCTAACACGCTTACAGCAGCCTTAGGCTCTGAGAATCACTGATACAGTGACACTGATACGCTCCGTCTTGTTTGGGGGATTTGGAGAAAACGATGCGTGTCAAATGTCTTTATCTCTTTCATACGAGATATGCGTCAGTCATTCGAATAATCTGTTCACATGCAAATATTGTGTACAGACGTATTGTTTCCATGAAACCGTTTTATCCCTCATCATTGTTTGTTAACAGGATTAAGTTGCCGCCACATCTTGAACAACGGTGTGCATATGCAGTATCCAAAGTCCCGATGCTCAATTCGGTCCTTGAGGAGAAACCCGTCCGGTGCAAACGGCGGCAGCGCGGCGCCACAGCCGTCTCCACCACCGCTTCATGGTCAACACCAGCTTAAGGACATAGCACTTAAGAGGCTTTCAAACAAGAGAGCTGACTAACTCATCTGAAAGCAAACTGCCTGACAACAGCAGCAGGGGGACCGGAGCGGTTTCTGCTCCTCCCGTCCTGGGCGCTCCCTCTGGGGGAAACGGGGGTAGCACAGAATCTTTTCTTTAAGCTGAAGCGCTGTACATTGTGCCAGTCAGGATTAGTGGATGCAGATCCTGAAGTGCAGATAAGCTTGAGGCGGCGTACTGGATTCCAACCCGCAGGACAAAAACAGGTCACGTAAATTAAAAGCAACATATCAGTGCAATCCCAAACACATATATAACGGACCGTTTATTTATTGGAAATCTTAGTACGAAAATCATTTTTGTTGTACTTTTTATCAGTGATTATCTCCAATTTCCAATTAGAAAATATAGAATAATTAATATTATTGACAGTTTTTGAAGTATGTTTGTCAGTGCACCACAGTCATCCTAATCAATTAAAGTTTCTGACATTGTTTTCTCCAAAAACAATGCATTTACAGTTACATTTTGTTGGACTGATGAGCGACTGCATTTTCATTGATGATAATTTTCCAAAAGGTCAAACAAAAAGGAAGGACAGAGAATTGAAAATATACAAAATGCAATGGAGCACATTTCTACTCACCATTACATTGTTGGTTCTATTTGCTTTAAAACTAAACAATGCGTTAAGATAAGATGATTTATATTTGTTTTGTTTAGCAAAATAATCTTCACACCACGTCTATAACGTTTGAAGCACAAATGTAACCAAAAGAAGTAAAACGCTAATCTTTTAGGGTTAGAACTCAACGCCGCTCACGTGACTAAAGAACGACTGGTGTTGATGTTTGATGCTCTCGTTGAGCTAATTGTTAGTTAAAACCAGAGGGGTATTTACTGACATTGCAGATAAAAGCAATGAAATCTCTTAAGCTTGTGTTGGCCTCAGACATTATTTCAGGCATCTGACCAAAAACGCGTCGCCAGTGCCGACTGGTATGCGCCGCGCTTTAGGGCTCCTTCCTGCAGCGCACTGTGAACACAAACGAGGTCAATCGTAGATTCTCCCCATTCGGTAAATGCTAACAGCTTTGTCTCTGCTCCTCTTAGTGCACTGTAAGAAGTTTCTGATCCCATTTAATACTCAACGCACAAACTATGACACAATAAATGGGTTAGCTGAAAGAAAAAAAGAAAGCTGCTGTGATGTAACTATGAGCACTAAAAAAACCCTGACAACATCCTGTTGATGTTTCATCAACAACCGAAAGCCGCCTGAGGTCCATTGTGAGCTTCAAACACCAAAGACAGCAAACAGGAATAAAGTCAGAGTTTGTCAGCCGGCGACCTTTGAACCTGTCAAGAGGACCCGTGGAATGACAAACAGCGACCGCTCCACTATGTTTCCATTGGAAAACCATCGGTTAATACGTGTTTCTAAAACTATGCAGTTGGTGAACCAACGGTGCGGCAGACGGCAGGCAGAATAAGTTCGGAGGACTTTGCAGCGTGATGGAAACCAACTGAGAATACGCTTCGTAGTCATTTACAAGCGAGGCATCATTAGCTATTGATCAGAGCTTTTGTATAACGCAGCACAAGGCTTTCAGGAGACCATCGTTTACGGAATTATAGTTGCAAACAATTTGTTGTAAAATGTCTTTTATCTTTTTCTCTGGAAGCAACAGAACAAAAACAGCCTGGGAACAGGCGTTAGTTTTCTGTGCTATTTTGAAAAGTATTTGGCCGGCATTGCTAGTAACTACAGCGATAACTATCAGCAGGTTGCCATTTCAGCACTGAACAGACCTGGCAGCCGTGTGACTGCCCGCTTTCATTGCATGCCTGATTCCTACTGTCGCTCATAGTTTGTTAATTAAGTTCAAAGGCATCGCTTCACAAAGATTTGGCCTAAAAATATCAGGTTGCTGATACAGTGTCAACCATTTTCTATGATGATGGTTTACCACAAGGAGCGGGATGAACACAGTTTTCTTATTAAAACAGAGAAAATATCCGGGACGAATACCAACAAAAATATATATTTTTAATAATCCAGGTCGTTATGTGTAGGAGGCGCCTGTAAGTCTCCATCTGAACCGCTGTGAACCAAGTACTCTACTGTCCCAGTCTGAGGACACGCCGGCTCAAATGACTGCGATAATAACCGAGTGTGACATGAGAAAATGAACATGTGATTTCCACTGGATAACAGGAGTCTTGCATTTGGGATCCCTCGGGCGGTGTAACCCTGACGGTCCCGGTCTGCCTTCAAGCCTCAGTTTACCAAAAATAGCAAAAACAAATTACAGGTGGAGTGAGATAAACGACCCCAGGGAGCTCAGGAACACGTCTTGTCACAAACTGAACAAAATAGAGGTGGTAAAAACACTCCAGGATTAGATGGCAGATCAACAACTCAACGAGGGGGAAAACAAGGAGGTTAAATGAAGAGAAAACTCAACCGTTGCTCCTTTATCCGTCTGCATCAACAGCAGAATAAGAAACATTAACTCACATTACAGCCTCCTGGGAGACCGACAGACCGATGAGTCTACAGGTCTACCTTTCCTGTCTGCGTGTGTGTGTGTGTGCGTGTGTGTGTGGCTAGTTTTACATTAGATGGTTGACGTTAGGCTTCTCCTGTAGGTGGAAATGGCTCATTTGGTCATCTGGGTTGTTGAATATACAGCTGCTTGTTTGCCACGATTCTCAAAGTTCACGTTTAACCAACAAGAAGTCTCAGCAGAATTGTACCAATTGTACCAAATTCACCAGATTAAATAACAACGGGTAGATCAGCAGTTTCACACACGAGGTTTTGTGCATTTAAGTTAAAACAATATAGATTGCTGGAGCACTTCAGGGTCCAGCACCACGTGCTCTGATGCTGCTTCTGGACCAGATTTGGCTTCACGTTGATACAGCCTCCCTCGTACATTATACGTTTGTCTTCCTACTGCTACAACTTCAAGGTACCAACATACCTGAAGCATTAGCATATAAACTTGCTGATTTGATGGTAAGTGAGACGAATGTCCATCTCATGGAATGCTCCTTGTCCCCAAACAGCTCCTGCTGTCCAACCTCACACAAACTGCCTTTTTCCCAGAGCCAAAAAGGTACGGCACAGATGTGCTTCTGAAACATCTGTCTGGGGAAGAAGGCTGAGCAAAGCTGTGGCTTTCCTCCGTGTGGAAGCCAACTGAGGACAAAGGGTTAATGCCTCAGCCCTTCTTGGAGGAATAATGGTGTGAGGCCCAAGGCTGAATAACCCACCCGCCCCCTCGGGACCTAGATGTTGGTGCTGGGGGTGAATCCATTTACCCCCCTCCCCCTTTTCCATGAGCCCTGCTGTCTCCTGACAAACACACACGCCGACACGCCTTTTGTCACAGAGTTTTAATGGACGTGTTGTGTGCCTCATGTGCAGTGTGTATGTAGACCTACAAACTAGAAACCGCTCAGGTGATCGATCCTTTCATCTGCCTTCACTTTGAGAGAGATTTAGTCTGCTGCTTGTGCTTTCTGAGAAGACAGTTTGACAGACAAGTTTGAGAGAATCTAACAGCCTTTGATCCAATGAGACGGATGAGACGGGTTTGGATCTGGATAAACCTCAAGACGATGAGAAGCAGCCGCACGCAGTGAGATGTTTCCTACTGGGATGCATCTTCTCTGACCCAGAGGTCCACAGCGGAAAGAGGTGTCTCAGCACTTCTTCAAAAGGAGGTCCAAAAAGACTCCCTTCATCATCCCAACCCTTCCACGGTGTGTCCGCTGGGCCTGAATCTGTCTCCCACCACAAAGGCGCAACAGCTGCAGCGTCGGGGAACCACAATGGACCCCGCGCCCCCCCGCAGAGGGCCCTGCGTCTCAAGAACCCGGCGACTTTCTGCTCGTGCAGGACGGAGGCGACGCGACATCCGCCGAAACGCCTCAACGTGCGACGCGCACGTCGCGCCGCGGCAGATGAACCGCAGCGGATCAAACTTTGTTTCATGTGCAATTCCGTTTTGACGCATTGAAACGGTTCGATGCATTTTGATCAAACGGGTGGAATGTTGTTCTGGGGATTCAGAAGAGATTTAAACCAGACCCGAAACAACAACAACAACAACAAAAAACAGAGCATGCCCTTGAGTCTGTGCATCTTAATGTATTATCCATGGGGACATATTCACGAAGTGGGACAACCAAATATGCAGCTTATAAAGAAACTTTGGGGGGGGGGGCACACGCCTTTCCTCCCCTCAGGTCTCTCACCTTGTTGACATTCCGGTCCGACGTTCCCAAGGTTCGGGTCCTTTATCCAGACATCCACGCCGTGAACACGATCACCGCTAACGGGGCCGTCGGTCTCCTCTCCGATCAGCCGCAGGGCGCCTCGTAAAGACGCATGATCTCGGTGCCGTAGCGCCGCTGTGTCCCACCGCCGTCCTGCTGCTCCTTGTGACGGATGGAGGAGAAAAAATGATGACAAAAAAACACCTGGCGCTGTGCAGACCAGTCAGCTGATCGGCCGGCAGGCGATTGGCTGGGAGCGCCTGTCAGTCACCGGCCACGCAGAGCACCATCTGCTGCGGGCTTGTTGTGATGTGAACAAAGGCAGTGGAGGGCGGAGGGGCGTGGGGAGGAACGGGGGTGGGGGTGGGGAGACTAGGGGGTGGTGCATGGCATCATTGCTCCTACACGAACCTTAAAGATAATATATTACTTTTCTGTTTTGTATTTATGTTTAAAACCAGATAACACAAACCAGAGAAATCTCGTGTGTTATCACGTTTTATTATCCCTCTAGTTATTCTCCTTTAATTTTGCTGCTCATTGAAATTAGCTGTTCAACTTGACACATAGTTTTAGCAAACTGCCAAATAAACACCTACAACAAACCAATTCATGTTGGACCGCCCGACGATCCCATTTCAAATTGCAATTGATCAAAAGAGATGATTTAAACATTCACGGATGAATTGCAGGGCAGTGAGTTTGAAATCAGGAGTCATGCTCATTGTTCATCAATGATTTAATGCTATGCGATGCTCTATTGTCTTTCTCCCGTTGCCGGTTGAATAAAAGAAGATATCAGCAAACATCAGTTTCGTGGCCTTGTTAAAAGCTACAGGTAGCATATACAATTAATGCGATGATAGTGGTATTTATACGCTGGAGAAGTATACTCGGTCCATTATAATAAGCAATATAATGCGGTGACCTTTAAATATAATTGCAGCTGTATAGGATCACATTAAACTGGAGCTCCCGCTGAAACGCTACCGGGACCCATTAGCATTCATGCGACCATGTAGGATGACATCTGGAGAGCATTAGTGCTATTTGAAGAATCCATTTGCTCACGGTTGCGTTGAGACAAGGAGATTATGAACCCGGTGATTGGCAGCATAGCACTTGCATCAGCCGAATGCGCTGCCCCTGTTGCTTGTTGCTGCGTCCCAAAGTGCATAGCAACTGCAGCAAAGTGAAAATGAGATGGGGAGTAGAGACCCCTAATGAATATTTGTACTCCAGCCCACATCCTCTGGACCTAATCCTGCCTTCAAATCCACCTTCTATTGAACCTTCCTTAACATGTGGTGGAACATCTGCTTTTCTCTTGGCGAAGCCCCATTAGAAAGCTGCATTCGCTGCCCTGCAGAAACTGCTTGTCCCAGGAGTGTCTTACACATGGAGACGCCCTCCCCTTACTGCATGTTGTTGAAATGCTGGGAAACTGTCGGCGACTAACACTCTAATTTTACACACATTGTACATTTGAGACATTTGAAAAGGCAGCGACAGGCCAATTTACAGCTGGTTATAGTGGACCCTCGAGCTGTCACAGGCGGCAGCTGTAGGAATGGCTTTTAATTGGTAACGATCGGCGGGGGAAAGGGAGTCAGATGATGTGTGGAGGAACGGGCTGGTGTGTGGAAGGGTGGAGGGTGAATAGAGGTGAGGAGGTGAGGCGGCGTGCGTGGCGGTGGCAGGGCGCAGGATGTATGCAGGTAACTGCACATCAGCATGTATGCAGGTAACTGCACATCAGCATGTGTGCAGGTAACTGCACATCAGCATGTATGCAGGTAACTGCACATCAGCATGTATGCAGGTAACTGCACATCAGCATGTATGCAGGTAACTGCACATCAGCATGTATGCAGGTAACTGCGCATCAGCATGTATGCAGGTAACTGCTCAACAGCATGTATGCAGGTAACTGCTCAACAGCATGTATGCAGGTAACTGCTCAACAGCATGTATGCAGGTAACTGCTCAACAGCATGTATGCAGGTAACTGCACATCAGCATGTATGCAGGTAACTGCTCATCAGCATGTATGCAGGTAACTACACATCAGCATGTATGCAGGTAACTGCATGTATGCAGGTAACTGCTCATCAGCATGTATGCAGGTAACTGCTCATCAGCATGTATGCAGGTAACTGCGCATCAGCATGTATGCAGGTAACTGCGCATCAGCATGTATGCAGGTAACTGCGCATCAGCATGTATGCAGGTAACTACACATCAGCATGTATGCAGGTAACTGCTCAACAGCATGTATGCAGGTAACTGCTCAACAGCATGTATGCAGGTAACTACACATCAGCATGTATGCAGGTAACTACATACATGCTGGGTTTTGTGATTTTAGAAGTTCCTTATGTCTACATATATGACAGCACAATGTCAGCTGCAATTCAGCACCACGGACAGCCGCTCACCTGCAGCAGTGTTAGTTTACAGCGCAGCTGAGGGACAACTGATGTCCATTCAAACGCCGAATAGTACACTTGTTTTCCTCATGCACACCCTGGTAAGCACGATATCTTTGTCTTGAATTTGTAGAACAGAATCTTTGACGTCTGATTCCTCTGCCACACCCTTGATCGTGGAGAAACAAACTAACATATCTGTCCACTATACTCAGAAGTCCAAGATCTGAAAATATCCAAGAAACTCAATGGTCCCACAAGGGTTGTGTTTGTGTTTTTAATTTTGAGTCAACACCACATACACCAAAGTGTATTGATACAATAAACACACAATTTAGTCCTGTTTGAGTAACGTCGGCTAAAAACTACACCCAACATTCTCAGGAAATTAAGAATATTTCCACAAATATAGAACAAATCCTCTGCACACCTCCACCTATTATTACAGTTACTGGTCCTTTTTCTCTCTGTTTTCTTCCAGTGGTTTGATCTACTCCTCTTGAGAGGTGCATGCTGGGAAAACAGGAGCCTGCATAACATCTCAAGAGTGTCAGAGAATACTTTTGAATTAGCAGGCACTGACACATGGCCAGGCGGCGTGCTCGCATCATCATGCGTTCGCCCCCATTAATCTTCAAAAAGTTACCCTGCTTTGAGTTTTACCTCAGGACTCCAATGGTGGCAAATGAAAACTAAAAACAGCACGGCGTCAGTCAGCCACGGCTTCTTTAAGTCCCTCACACACTCCGTCTTCCACAGAAATCGTCCGTGATGTGAAATCGGTGCTCTTTCTATGTTGCATCTTCTCTTTGAAGTTTGGCAACAACAGTAGCGAACGCGCTAAAACCCTTTTGGAGTCAGTGACTTTGAATCGATTGTGAATGATTCCCTAACCGGGTGTACGGTGCATCACACGACACCCTCTTGTTGTAACAGCTAGTGGATGTCAGGGGACAGAGGTGGACAATATCTGTGTCCTCATCGATACGTCCTTTGTAGGTGGTGACCTGTCTGATCTCATTTTTTAGTTTGAAAAACCTTTTAATTTTCTTGGCAGTTTATTCGGGTGCTTTCTTTATTGTTCATGTCTCTCCTCTCGTCCCCCCGGGTACCCAGACAATCTGTCCTCAGAGCATTTTGATTGCCTCTGTTAACTTGAGAAGTAAATACTGTGGATTATCAGTTTTTCGGGCATGTCATCTGCTCACCTGATCAGACCGTGTGCACGCTAAGCCTTGAATAACAAAACCAGCTTCAAAAGAGGCTCAGAGTGCCACAAACAAACACATGTTGTGCTCCAAGTGTGTGTGTGTGTGTGTCTCAGTGGAGCGGCAAACTATAATCTCTCCGGAGCTGGATCATGACATGCCAGGTGCAATCAAATGATAGCTTTGTTTTATGGCTCCTCATCGATCAAATGATCCCGTGTGATGGGAACTCTAACGCCGGCTGTGCAAGTTCTCGTTTCAAGGCGAATAAAAAATAAGGATCATATCCCAGTGGAGGCCGGGTGTAAAACAATGGCAGCGTATTGTTTAATATTAGCATTTTCATCCCTAGTCCCCCCCAGCCTCCTGCAGGAGCACAGATGGCTATAAATAGACGGCACCAATCAAATGCTTCTCTTTTTCAGGTGGTGTCGCCTGGGAAACAAGTCGGGGGTGTTGTGTGAGGGTGTGTGAGGGCAGACGCGGGCGAAGCCCAGTCTGATGTGATGTGGCATTTGGCTGGCGAGCCTCCGGCAGGTCAGGCTGTCAGAAGAGCTGATGGTGCCAGGTGATGGTGCTGGTAGGAGACGGGAGCAGACGGAGACGCTTGCCAGCCAGGCCGCCCCCCGCAATTAAATAAATAAGTGCAGATTCCTTCCTCTGATTCGTGTGTACGCTCTGCAGCTTATTAGGAATATTTCTTTCCAATTGCAGGTTCAAATGCACCTCACCAACCAACGTTTCTGTCTTGGGATTTGACTGTTAGACGACGCCGAGGGAGGAGACAGGATGGCACGCAGGGACCAATTAGTCCTCTGAGGCCGGGCTGCTGCCACGTGTTACTTTCCCCTGCTGATAATAATCCATCAATGATTGGTTTCATTTATGCTCCAGTAACTTCTGTTTCTTTTACCAGTCCGGTCACATGTTTCTCAATCCCTGCTTAATGTGCCTGTGGTCAGGTGTTCACCTGGAGGAGCCTCCAGAGGAATCAGGTGATGTCACCAAACAACACAGACGTCATTTGAGGCCAATTGCACACAGATGCTTATTATTAATATTATCCTGAGTGAAAACACCTTTTGCAGTGTGAAAGTGAAATAAAAATATCTGATTACCTGCATCTTTTGAGGGTCATGCGTGAAATTAAAGAAACAGAATTAGAAATTGATAATAAATATAAGTTTCAATGTTCAATGACCAAGGGGAAGAATCCACAACGCTGCAATTGGCAAATCTGTGTTAATTTACATCAGAAAAAAATGACAATAAAGCAAAATACAGTTTGAGAAAAGAAGGCAAAACGTTTGCAGTATTAGTGGACCAATTAGTTCAGGACATTTTAAAGTCTCATATGAGGGTTGAAATCCTCTAAATATTCAGTGATAACACTGGAAATCTTTGCCTCCGTGACATACTGGAAGTAATCTAGTGATCTATTTATCTTAATACATCTACACAAGTGATGTCACTTACACACAGTCTGTTTACATCCATCAAGCCAAGACATCATCTTGACCTCAAGAAGCATCGTGGTCGCTGACATCACAGATTGAGAGTGAGAAGGTCAGAGGGAGGATCTGCTGTCAGCTGCCACTCACTCAGCTAATGGTTGCTAAACTAACTGTGGTTGCCAGGCAGATTTGGCAGC